CGTCCATCCATCCACCCGTCCACCCGTCCACCCATCCACCCGTCCATCCATCCACCCATCCATCCATCCACCCACCTGTCCATCCATCCATCCATCCATCCATCCACTCAACATTTACTAGGGACCCACCATGTGCTACACACTACATGTGAGGAAATATGGCGAAAACCTCCCAAGTTCCTGCTTTAGGGACCTTACATCTACATGTCAAGACAGACAATAAGTGAGTAAATATATTCTGTGTGACGATAAGAACTGTGAAGAGAAAGAAGCAGGGTCGGGGATGGAGGGGAGGAGAAGTTAAGATGATCAACAGCATTTGAGCAGAGACTGAACGAGGCGAGGTCTGGGGGGAACGTTCTGGACAGAGGTCACAGCGAGCACAAGGGCCCCAGGGAGGCAGGGCAGGTGGCCGGGGGGGCTCCAGGGGAAGAGAGGACAGGACACAGCAGGAGACGTGGGTGGAAAGAGAGAAAGGGGCCTCGTGCACACTTCAGGGCCTGCTGGGGAGGGGCTCGAGCACCAGAGGGGCCTGAGAGCCTTTGTGTTTTTACATATCCTGGATATTGTGGAGGGCAGTCAGTAGGGGGACAGCAGTGGAAGCATGACCTGGGCTGGGTGACTGATGACAGTGACTTGATGGGGGCTGGTGGCCAACAGACGTGGGAGAAGAGATTATATTCAAGGGTTTATTTTGAAAGAGTAGTGAAAAGTGTTACGAGAGAGAGGTTAAGGATGACTCCTAGGGTTTTGACTGAACACCTGAGTGCGGGGGGTGTCATTTATTGAGTTAGGGAAGACTGGGGGAGGGGCAAGTTTGGGGGAAAATCAAGAGTTTATTGAGATCATTTACTCCGTATGTTGAGAAGGCAGCTGGAGATACAGACTAGAGACTGGGGTGGGTGGGTATAGGGTAATATTTATATATCACATCCCTCCATCTGCCTAAAATCTTCCAACAAATCCTCGTGATCTTCAAGACAAAATCCAGCTCCGAGCTCCATGGACTTGGCCCTCTGTGTCTTCCCGCTTCATCATCAGTCTCATGAACCTAATACAGGTTCCTTTGTATCCCCCGCTTCCCTCGCTCATGCATGTCATTCTCTCTGCTTGGGCGCTTCTCCCCGGCTGACCGCTATGTCCGCAAAGACCCGGGGACACTTCCTTGTCCTTCCAGCCATACCCCCATCTCCCTGCAGCCTGTTTCCGTGCTCCTTATTTATTTTTTTGGTTACACAGGCCTCTCACTGTTGTGGCCTCTCCCGTTGCGGAGCACAGGCTCCGGACGCACAGGCTCAGTGGCCATGGCTCACAGCCCAGCCACTCCGCGGCATGTGGGATCCTCCCGGACCGGGGCACGAACCCGTGTCCCCTGCACCGGCAGGTGGACTCTCAACCACTGCGCCACCAGGGAAGCCCCCTACGTGACATTTTGGTCACTGTTCTGTGAATGTAGTGCCGTTACCTTTGGGTCAGGAAGACACGGTCCAAATGCTTCCAGCAGAAGAGTCTCCTCCCTCACAGCCTGTTCATAGTCTGCGAAGGACAGCTTCCCGTCGTGGTCGTGGTCCTGGGGGCAACCGGCCACACCGCAGTTAACATGGAAAACATCACAAACACACACTGTCTTCTCATGGCCCAGCGTTCACAAAGAAGACGTCAGAAAAGTATGAGGCTAAGTACTGAAATTGAAAGGAACTGTCATATTATGATAAAAGAGCACAGTCCGAGTGCTGTCTTTCACCAGGCAGGAAACTGAGAGTTACTCTAATTTGAGTTCTTATTTCTACCCCACATCTGTGGATTTCACGAGAAAACTCTAAATTACCCATCGTACCATTTTCTTCAGGGTTATTTCCACCAGGTCTTTGATTCCTTCGTCGGGGTCCTCCTCGGACGGCTGCTTCAGGAGGCTATCCTTCAGCATGTGGAACATCTCCTCCTTCGAGATGAAGCCGTCGCCGTTCAAGTCAAACACGTCAAAGCAATCTTCAAGAAAGAACCGGTACGAATGTGCTGCGGCCAGGAAGCCGGCCTTGGTTCTGATGGTGTTCAAGGCCCAGGGCTCCAGTGGTGTTTACATCAAGCCTCGGGCCTCAGTGCAATCAATTCCCCTAACAAATGCCTGATGTCCGCTTACTGAACATACTCAACAATCCTTAGAAAGTTTCCTACACTTAGCTTCAAAGAGCAGGCCAAGGAGCAACGACTTAACATTCTCACCGTGAAAACCTTGGAAAACGGATTGAACTGCGCCTCTTAAACAGAGTTCATTGGGATGAATTAGGAATTAACTAAGAATCAGAAACTTGAATCGATGTTGTATGATGACAATTTGAGTAACAAAATATGTAAAGCACTTACCACCTTCATACGTAAACGCATGCGTACGTGGTCCGCACGTGCACCACCTGCCTGTGCGGTCTGGCTTGGCATGGATTCCGCCTCAGAACTTCTTGATTTGCCTTTTTATTAATTTTTTTCAACCCTTATTATTGACCTGAATTTGCTCCGTAAAAGAGGCTGATGGGAATTCACACCAAGCAAACAACACACAAACCCACCCCACTGGCTGGGCTGGAAGACATTGATGATTTTCACTCTTTCGAGGTACTTATCGTAAAGTGCAAACCAATAGGATAACACGAAGTCTTACATTTCATTTTCTCTTCCAGAGTTCCTCGAAGAAACACGGATAATCCATACACCCACTCTGATACAGTTATGCAACCATCATTGTCTTTGTCAAACCCTCGGAATACTAAAAAAAAAGAGAGAAGTAAAAAATGTGACACTTGTGCTGCGTTTCTATTCTCGGTGACGGACCCGCACGGGGCTACGCACTTCTGAAATTTAGGCGAAACCTCACGCCCATATGGTCCCATGTTCTCATTTGATAAAGGAGGAAACTAAGATGTCGTAACATCGGAAAACTCTTTTACTTAAGCGTTCATGTTTCCCTTCATACTTTGTGGGAACAAGTAAATTCTGAACAGCTAAATACATGAATCGACAGTGAACGTATACACATATAGGTACATTAAATTTGTTGATATATTAACATAAAACATATAAGTTTATATTTTGTTACCCAAGAAAAGTACTGCTATTACATGATAGATAAGATTATATCTTAACTTTTATTGGAATACTCTTGATGATGTAAGGAAGTTTAAATGTCCTTTTAAAACGATTATTTGTTGTTCTATTTACTAAGTAGGAATATAAATAGCTTGGGTTTTTCTGATGTAAAGAAAGGAAACCTAGTGATTCAAGTTGACTTTGTCCTCTTCCTAAATCCACAGAAAGAGTGGTTGCTACCTTCTTCCCTACCGTGCTTCCCCATGAATGTAAAAATTAAACTTTTATGTTCAAATGGATTTGGAAACACAGAACGTGAAGCTTCCCGCCCAGAGTTTGTCCAAACTCCAAACTGTTTTTCCCAGTTATGGCTGGATTTGGCCCGTCTAGACACTGACGTCCGCTCACCTCTGTCCATGATCATGTCGTCCGTCATCCCAAATGTCACGTGCAGGATGTTCCGAAAGGCGTTCCGATCCAGCCCGACGTCCAAACCCTGCCGCTCTGTCACATCACCCACCAAGTTATAGAAAAGATTGATAAGGCATTTCACTTCAAATTTATTAACTGTGAAAGAATGAAATTGAGATGTAACAAAGACGCCTTTTAATCTTTAATGTCCAACTTAAACTTTGCACAAATGAGTTCTGTACACAAACAACACTGGAATCATGAATGGGCAGCTGTCAACGGGAGACGCTCCTCTTTTGAGATTCATGACCCTCGAGTTACCAGAGGATGGTCACTACCCAGAAGTTCCCACTGAAGTAAGGCAGCAGCCGTCCCTCCAAACAGATGTAAGTGCAGTCACAGTTAGAAAAAGGACGATAATATTAGCCAGGTCACCTGAATGCGGATTGTGGGGTCTGATTCTAAGTAACCATGGCGATGTTAAAAATGGTAGCTTTCCCCCAGCATTTTGATTATAGGCATTCGTGAGATCTACAGTTTAACTCTTCCCTGGAAATAGATACCAGCCTCCCCCAAACCAGGCAACAACTTTCATCTCACATTAGCCTTCGTGAAGCCGTGAGCCAGAGTTTGGAAAGCAGAGTCACCTATTTTCCAACAAGGAAGGAGTTAAGCATATCCTAGCACCCAGGAAGGTTCTCGCTGTGAGGGCTGGAAATTAACAGGCAGCCGTGCAGCAGCACTTCGGAGGAAGGACTTTTGTGTCTAAAGGGTGTGCACACACATGCATGCTTGCATACACACGACTGCAGAGAGGGTGGTTGTGTCCCCATCGCTGTGTCCCCATCGCTGTCCGAGGTGTGTAGGTGGAAGGGTTAGTGTCTGGCATTAAGAACATAAAGGTGAGTTTCAATATGAGGTAAAGGTGGAAGATGGGGAAGATCTTATTTCAAGACAAGACAAAATTAAGGTTGAGTATTTTTAAAAGCAAGGACGGAAGCTGTGTGCATGTAAAGGAAAACAGCCCAAAGAAATGGATAAATCCCACCTCATCTTGCAGGCCAGGAGAGGTTTGAGGGCGAGTTCCAGTTTGGGGTGCCACAATTTAAGACGAACATTGAAAACGTTGGAAAACAAATGATTTAGTAAATAAATTGATAAATAGTAGAAATAATGTAATGGTTATAATTTTAAAAGGAGCCTTTACTTGCCACAGAAAACGGTATGAATGGTATGTCACTTCAAGAAAAAAATTACACATAGAAATACTACAGAATCCAGTGATTCCACTTCTGGGTATTTGCCCCAAAGGATTGAAAGCAGGGACTCTGATACTTGTACACCATTATTCATAGCAGCAGTCGTCACAACAGCCAGAAGGTGGGAGCAATCCAGGTGTCCATGGGTGGATGAGTGGATGAATAAGATGTGGTCCATCCATACAATGGACCATGAGTCAGCATTAAAAAGGGAGGAAATCGTGACTCCTGCTACAACTTGCCTGACCCCTGACTACATCATGCTGAGTGAAACAAGCCAGACGAAAAAGGACAAATATTATTTGATTTCACTTATATGATGTACCCAGAGTGGTGAAATTCATAGAGACAAAAAGTAGACGGTGGGTGCCAGGGGCTGCGGGAGGGGGAAGTGGGGAGCAACAGTTTAATGGGGACAGAGTTTCAGCTGGAAAGATGAGAAAGTTCTGGAGATGGATGGTGGTGACAGCTGCACAATGTGAATGTACTTAGTGCCCCTGAGCGGTGCACTTAAAATAATTAAAATGGTAAATTTTATGTCATGTCTATTTAACCACAATAAAAAACTCTAAAAATAAAAAGTGATGTTAATGGTTGGGGAAGAAAACCTTGCACGAAGAACGATGCAGTCTGATCACATATATGAAATGCTAGCTGAGGGGATGTTGATTAGCCATTCCCCATCTCAGCTGAAATAAAAATGAAAGAGTATCAGCTCAATTTATTCCCCAAAAGATCCAAGAGGGGTAATTTTTCCACAGGAAAAATTCTCTTGCTGAAATGTTTCTTATATCATGCCGCAACTAAAAGATCCACGTGCCGCAACTAAGACCCAGCACAGCCAAATAAATAAGTAAATATTGGGAAAAAAGAATACTAAATGAAATTAAGGAAATTCGAGAATGGATTTTCATCTTTTTGTAAGGTGTAAGTCTGCTGTGCAGATCAGATCTGCAGAATGGTGGATTAACTAGACAAACATTTAAGATACTTTCTTCTTTGATTCTACAAAATCTATCCACTTCATCTTGGTGGGATTATCACCTGGCAACTAAAAGGAAATCTGACTTTAGAAGAAAGGTCCTCTGTTTAAAGAAACTCAAAATTATTATAATGCCCATGATTAGTCACTATTTCTATAGAATTTAACTGGTAATCATCAAGGTTCTTAAGGTTCACTTCAAAAGTTTTAGGTAGGACAAAAATCAAAAGAGTTGACTGGTTTTCTTGCTGTGTTTTCACTTATCTTTTCCTTTTATAAATTTATTTTATTTTTGGCTGCGTTGGGTCTTCGTTGCTGCGCACAGGCTTTCTCTAGTTGCGGCGAGCAGGGGCTACTCTTCGTTGCAGTGCACGGGCTTCTCATTTCAGTGGATTCTCTTGTTGCAGAGCACGGGCTCTAGGTGCGCGGGCTTCAGTAGTCACGGCGCGAGGGCTCAGTAGTTGTGGCACACGGGCTTAGTTGCTCCGCATGTGGGATCTTCCCGGACCAGGGCTTGAACCAGTGTCGCCTGCATTGGCAGGCAGATTCTTAACCACTGAGCCACCAGGGAAGCCCTCACATCTTTTAATATGTTCACAGAATATCTGCAATACATTGCAAACTCACTTGAACAGGAACTAAATCAAATTCAGTGTTCGTTGTGTATAGCAGTTATTGCACTGTTTATTTAAAATGTTTACTAGATGTTTAAGATCTGGCCTTTTCCCAGAAATGAAAGTATTTTAAGAAAAACAACAGAACAAAACTCTCATCAGATTGTAATAACCATGATAATATCTTAAATTATAGGATGACTTTTTTTAGACGTAACTTTTATTTCCAGCACCATCCTGACAGGATTTCCTACCACTCATCATATAAGATACTGAGTATGATTAGAAGGCACTAGATCCCATAATCTCTAGGACTACATGAGAACATGTTTGTTCTTTCTATGCACAGTGGGAGTAGTCTTGGGATTATGGCTATGGGATTATTGCAATAAGCACTCAACTTCTAAGATTGCTCGTCACATATCTCCCTCATCTAAGCCATATCCATAGCTTCCTTGCCCAAGCACAGTCCTGTTTTTCAGTCTGAATATAATTCTAAAGTTACCTGTGAAATTCTAGGACCACTTTTCAGACTATGTGTGAGGTGGGAGCAGATGTCTTCAATAGGTGTCCATCTTGCCACCTGCCAAGTCTAATCCTTCACTTTGCTGGAAAGTTGGGTCTAGAGTTGGGAACAGATCCTTTACTGTGTGTTTAGCTTTGTTGAGCTCCTTGGATTCCAGGCACATTTCCTTGCTCTGAGATACAAGTTTCTGGGCCACTTCACCGTGTCTGTCCTAAGGATGTTCAACCCCTGATAACCATTTTCCCTTATAGGTCTCTTGGTAATTCCCAAAACTTGGACCTTGCCAGTTGATTTGCTCTAAGAAGAGCTGTTGGTTGGGCTACTTTTCTTGAGTGCGGTGGTTTTCAGTGCTTGTTTTCCACCTGTGTCTCCAGGGTACATAAATCACGTTTCTATAGCGTAAGGGTAAGTTAAGAGAAGGTCTGAGAAGCAAGTATGTGCGTGTGTGCGGGTACAGCACTAGATACCTGGATACTAGAAATGCGCCTTAAGATCATGGGCGCCAGGAGTGCCCGCCCCAAGGAGCTGATGTTGGTGTTCCCTTCCAGACTCCTCTTTAGGGTCGGGCGTGGAGAGGGCTCCGACTGCGCTCGGGCTCTGCAGGCGGAACAGTAGCACCGGGCAGGACAGGACCTGGCCCAGGGGCCTCTGCACACCCGGCACCTGATTCTTACTTACAGTGCTTGCAATTTTTAGTTAAGGAGTCCGTTAGCTTCTGCAGCTTCTTGCGGTTCATGCCGGCCGCTCAGGGAACCGGGTCGCGGCCCGTGTCCAGTGGGGCGGCTGCCGGGACCCTCGCGAGGCCTGGGCCTGGGGCTGCCGGCGAGTCTCCCCTGTGCGCGTGCGCGGTCCTAACACGCGACGTGGCCATGGCAACGGCTTGGCGGCCGCCGATTGGCTGCCGGGCTGGGGTGGGCGTGATCCTAACCGGGCGACGAGCCATGGCAACGCCTGGGCGGCAGCTGATTGGCTCCCGGGCCGGCCGGCACTGTCTCCCTGGGAGGGCCGGCCAGGCGCGCTGCGACCGCGTTCCGACTGTGACGTCGGTGGGTGACCCTCCAGGTGTGGCTGGCTCGAGTTCACAACCCCTTTCATGAGATGCACCGTGAGTCCTCAGGGCTGAATTCTGTGGGGATGTCTTGGGTGGTGAGCGTGACACCAGGGAGGCTTCAGATCCTCAGCGAGGTCTGGGAACCCGGGGGTTGCAGGAATGAGCACGTGTGGTCTAGACGACGGCTTTTCAGGCGCGGGAGGGTGAGGGGCTCGCTCTCAGGTTGCCAGTCCTTTTGCCAGGAGGGAGTCTGCCACAGGATATCTTCAAGTTTTTGGTGATGCTGCAGAGAGCAAGAGGCGCTTGGAGTAGTTCCCCGCCCCCCCGTTCATTCTTGAGGTGGGGCTGGAGGCTGTCCGTGGAGTCTGGGGAGAGCCCCTGGCAACTTTTCAGCTTGTTAAAGAGGCAACCTCCCAAATAAAGACGAGCTGACAGCTGACACTAGCTCTGGGGTACAGCCTGACCTTGCTTTTCTGGAAAATATCTCAGTAAAATGGATCTTCTACTTATTTGAAAGACAGGTTCTTTGACTGCAAAGGCTAGTCCTTACGTCTTTACTATGAGAGGACTTTCTGCTCTTAACACAGATGAAACACCCTCTTTGAATTGAGACAGCGATAACATGGGTCAGCTCAGCCAGGAGCAAAAAACCTACAATATTCTCCCACATGTCACTTGTTTCGCTTCAGAAGGCAAAATGCTTTTGAATACAAATTATTCTATAGTGTGTGTACTGTCATTGTTAAACTGAAAGCAGAAAACTTCTGCCAACGGTATGTAACAACCGCACATGAGGTCTCTGATTCTCTTGCCTTGTTTCATTTGTTTGTTGAATGGAGGACTGGGGTGCTGCTTGAATCCAGGGTCGAGGATGCTTGGGGAAGGCAGGCAGGCACTGTATGATCCTGAAGCAGATTCCCTGAGAACTGTTAGCTAATATGACGTGATAGTGAATGTGAGATTGCCACCGTTAACGGTTAAGCGGTATTCCTGTCCGTGCCCCTGTCCGGCAGGTGCGGCGTTTCTAATAGGACTGTAGGGGACAAATGGGGATTGATGTATTCTGACACACGCGCTGCGAGACCTTAGTGATCTGTCAGATGCCAGAGTCGTGGCAAATATTTAGTCCTTAGAGATCGTTGGGGTGCTCGTTAGAAAGGCAAGCAGCCCAAAGCGTGGCTGTCTGGGGCTAATAAGGGGAGCCGCTCCCGTCCCTACCAGGTGTGCTGAACAGACTCCCTGCCGGCGTGTCTGGGGAGCAACCTCCTCTCTGGGCGAGTTCAGGCGTCTGGGCAGACCTCATGCACTGGAAGCTTCTCGAGCACCTTTGGGGAGCAAATCCATTCTTCCTTCCTAAGCTTCAGGCCTGGGCCCCGCCATCTGTGTTCCCTTAAAGTGGAAAAGCCAATGGAAGGGCAGTGCCACAGAAGGCTGATTAGGAATCAGATCTGTTCTAGCAGCAGAGACCCTGCACCTGCCGAGAAACCTTGGTGACGCGTCCTACTCCCAGCTCCCCCTCCCCCCGGTCTTCCTTCTATGTTATTCTTTTAGCCAAAACTTTACAAATTCACCATAGCGTCTCTCTCATGTCTCTGAGAGCATTGTGGAACTGGCCTCACCATACGGTCTTGCAAACCTTTCTCAGGGAAAGCAGGCATTTACTAGGGGCGTCTTTTGTCCACATACTGGCAAACCTCAGAGCGTTCTCTACATTCTTGTGACATTCTGAACTTAATATTTTTAGACCTCAGAACGAGCTGTGGGCCTGGTAGAGTCTGCTGAGTGCATCTCAGAGCCGGTGGTAATTTCTGTCCATAGACTTTGTTGCTTGTGGGGAGGAGATGCAGCATTGCGTCCCAAGGGCTTTTTCCAAGAGAGGCAATTAGGCCTGAACAGTTACCTCATATCGAATCAATCAGTAATAGAATAATCAAAAACTGGGCTGAATTTGTGCTGTGCATGAAGTGATCATAGAACTTTCCAAAGTTCAAGCAGCTTTGAGATGGGTGCTTTCGTGAACACAAAAGTACGTTAAAGTGACTATGAAAGTTATAACTGCTTCCTTTAATTTTGTGTGCAAACAGTTTTCTCTTAGACTCACAATTAATTGGAATTTTGCCATAATAAAGAGCTTGGACGTCGAATTGATGTAAGTGTTTCCCTCAGTGTGGACCTTTTATGATGGAGGCGTTTGGAAGCTGTGGGAAATGACATCACAGAATTGATTTCCAAGTATATTACAAGTCTATTATGAAATTACTTTAATGAAAGGAAAATATAAAGGTTAGTTATCTACATAATTTTTATTCATTTGTACCAGTTTTATGTTGTAGGGCGAGTAATGGGAAGTTCTGTGGGGACTTGAGCCAACCTTTCGGGCAGGTGACCCTCCTCTGGTCTCTCACCGCTTTCTCTCCCCTGTGCTGCTCCCCCAGCCCCCTGACAGCACGGGGCGTCTCCCTCCAGGACTGCTGCCAGGCCTTCACTCCATCCCCTGAGGCCCCTCTTGTGAGTGAATCCCTCCTGCCTCTGTCCTCCTGCTTTGCCTCGGGACTACCCTTCCAGCACTTGCCACGCTGAGTGATGACTCTCCTTCTCTGATCTCTCCTCCCCACTGGACTGTGAAGTACATGATCCCTCTCTCCTCGCATTTGTGTCTGTTTTTATCTCTGAATCCCTTTGTCTGGCACCTGTCTGTCATCCTTCTGCATTTGCCAGTACAGCCCAGGCTCCGTGGTCCACACTCAGGGAGAGGAGTCTCCTGAGTGGGAGGAACCCCGAGCCCCTTCCTCCGCAGCCCCCGTCCTGGAGACCCCTGTGAATGTACAGCAGGGCCTTGTACAGAGGGCTGGGAGCGAAGAAGACATTTTCCGAGTACACACACCAAACACTCACTGCTCTTAACACATCTCTAGGTAATTTTTGGGAACCTTAAGCAAGTGAATGGTGGGGAAGGCAGACACCCGAGGTCTACTGAGGTTGGGGACCTCACGTCTTACATATGCTTCTGATGCTGGAAACTACGGAGTGGCCTGTGATAAGTAATTACTGTGACAGCAGTAATCAGTCAGCAGGTTGAGTAAGGGAGCTGACCCTCCAAGCCTCACGGAGCTGCCCATGATGTCCTGAGGAACCCACTGGGCTTCCTCCTGTGGCCCGCTGGGTCCCGGGCCCAGAGGCTGGCTCTGGCCACTGTGCTGTCTGAATCACCCTCCAGGGACTTGGGATCTGCCCAGGGCTCCCTTGCACGCGGTCCTACCAGCACTCAGGATTGCCATCCTTCTGAAGTCTGGTCATTAGTGGGTGTGTAGTGCAGACTCCTTGTGGTTTCATTTGCATTTCCCAATGACTACTGAATTGAATTTCTTTTTAATGTTAGGTTGTAAGTGTTCTTTACGTATTAGGAATGGAACACCGTTATCAGAATAAAGTCTGTGACTTTTATTCTTTTACTAGTGGCCTTTGAAAAGCGAAAGTTTTGAGTTTTGATGAAGTTCAGTCTACCACAATTTAATTTTACAGTTCATGCTTTTTGTGTGCTGCTTAAAAATATTTTCCTAATCCGAAACCGTAACGATTTTCGCCTGTATTTTTTACGTGGTTTATGGTTTTATCTCATACATTTAGACCGCTGGTTTCCTTCAGTTAATTTTCGTATGTGTCTGAGGTAAGGGTTAATGTTCCCTATTTTTCATATGGGCACCTGATTTTCATAAAAGACTCTTCCTTTTCCATTGAATTATTCTGGCATTTTTGTCAAATACATCTCGTGGGCTTAGTTTTGGACTATCTATTCTGTTCCATTGATCACTGTGGCTGTTCTTTGGCCAGTATCACACTGTGTTCATTTCTGTAGCTTTATAGTGAATCTTCAAATCAGGGGGTGTAAATTCTGTAATGTTGTTCTTTTTCAAAATTGTTTTGATTAATTAACATTCTTTTCATTTCATATGACTTTTAGAATCAGCTTGTCAATTTCCAAAGAAACAAAATCCTGCTGAGGTGTCGCATCACATCTATATAGCAATTTGGGTAGAATTGACGTCTTCACTAAGCTATTGCTTTTTCTGATCCATGGGCTTGGTACGTCTCTCCATTTATGTAGGTCTTCATTACTTTCTCTCAGCATTGTTTTGAGGTTTTAAGTGTACACATCGGAGCATGTGTACATGTATTTATAGTATTTTTGATGCTAATATAAATGCAATGTTTAATATTGCAACTGTTCTTTGATAGTACATAAAATATAACAGATATGTGTACACGGATCTTGTATGCTGGAAACATGCTACACTCTCATATTCTTCTACTAGATTTTTTGTAGATTATTTAAGATTTTCTACATTGATGATCGTGTTCTCTACAAATAAAGGCATCTTTACTTCTTCTTTTCCAATCTGTATGCCTTTTTAAATCAGCATTGGGCACGTTCCCTCCAACACAGGGAACAAAGGGAGGTCCCTGCTTTTGCCCCCTTCCAGCGTGATGCTGAAGGCGGTAGCGAGAGCGGACCCTCGCTTTGCTTCCTGTGTTGGAGGGAAGGTGCCCATTGTTCCGCATCACACGTGCTGTTTGCTGTAGCTTTCTCACAGATGTCCTACATTAGATTAGGAAGCGGTCATCTATTCCAAATTTCCTGAGCGTGTTTGTCATCAGTGGGTTGCTGAGTTTTTACTGCTCATCCACACCTCCCCCTGCCGGAAGTGGCACCAGCATCTGTTAGTTGAGCTGCACATCACAGAAAACGCAGGCAAAGCTGGAATGCCTGCCTCTGAG